GTTCATTTTTGTCTGCCTTTCGTTATTTACTAGCTGGAACTTACTGTTAGTCAGTTCTAGTTATCTCATGGCTCTACATCTTCAGGAGAGCTAACTGGTTAGCCCTTAGTAGAATAAATCTATTGCAACTAAAGCAGTTACTTGGTGACATTCAGATTGATAAACATCTGTTAAGAGTATCCCAGGTGACACTCCTACTAATGACTCTCCAATAACATGTAAAGAATGAAGATGTAAAATCAAATGTATATTCTAGTAAGCCAAAGCCTAAAAGCAAATTATACTAAGTGAATATACATACAGTATGAATGACCTGTTTATTGTTAGGAAATGTAGGTCAACCAGAAGCTCCGCATGGTCTACTTCTGTAGTGTAAAAACTGCTACACTGACATCTCCAGATTTTCTGGGGGAGCCAGGAGAGCTCTGGGAGAGCTACATGGATGGCATCCTGGTGGGGGAGATTTCGTGTCTGAAGACTTGGGAATGGAGATTTGGAGATTCACCTCTGCTTTGTGAATGGCTACAGTTCCAGAGCTGAGGAATGGGGTTCTCTCTACTGATCTGGTACTTCTGCTTTGAGTTTGGCTTCTAGGACTTCTGGTGATTCAGGGATGGAGGCCAGAGATCTGGGGAGGAGTTTGGCAAGGAAAGGAGCCCAAAAGAATTATTTGCTGACTTCATGTCATTTCTGCTAAGTAGTTCATAGACAGAACATATACTTCTAAGAGTTGAGAACTAGTTCTCTCTTGGTCTTGCAATTAATTACAGTCCTGAAAAGCATTTCATCATCTGGTGATGACCTGGATCACCAGGATCCTTTCCAGTTCTAATGTGATGTTTCCTCTCACCAGCCTTGATACCAGTATTTTTCTGAGGAGGGCAGAAGCTGCCCTTTCTAGTTCCATTTGTAAGTCTATGCTGAGTTATTAGGGAGGTACCTTGGTTCTTCAGCAGACAATTGGCTTAAATCTGGCCCCTGATATCTGGGTTGACAAAAGTTCAGAATTTATGCTTAAGTTTTCTCTCTGAACTATCTAGCCAGGACCAAGTTTGAATTCTAAGCTCTAGTAGATATGCTCAGGTCAAGCATGGACTGACCTGTGGCTTTTTCTCAATGAGACCAATTCTCTTGTTTTAAGAGCCAATAAGGCTCCCCAAGAAGGAGAGCTGCCCCGGGTCTCATTGTAACTGGTCTACCATTTCATGCATGGCATACAAGAGCCAAAAATCTCTACAGGCTTGATTTTCTATTTATTTTTATTCTATTTTGTAGCTTGCTATCTTGTTTTAGATTCTAACTTCTCATTTAGCACCGAAATATTTTCTATTATGTCGCTTTGTTATTTTCTTTTAGATCCTAACTTCTCATTTAGCTTCTAAATATTTTCTAGTATGCAGCTTCGCTATCTTCTTTTAGATTCTAACTTCTCATTTAGCTTCTAAATGTTCTGTAGGATGGCTTCATATTTCACATTGGTAAACCAAGAAACCCAGAAAAGTCCTAAACAAGTTAGATTGCAAATAACTTTAGCTTTATTTAATGTCTTTTAATTTAAAGAATTACAAATACATTTTAGAGTTGTCTCCTTTTAATTTAGAGAAGCTCTGGGGATTACTTGGAAGGAAGTCAAAAGTCATTAGTCTTCTCTCCTCTCATTTGGCATGAATCATAGGCTGCTTTTGACATTTCTTCTCTTCTGAACTCTGCCCTTGTCTCCCTGTTATACTCTGAGTTCCTTGAGGGAAGAGAGCTCATCTTAAACCAACCTGTGTTCCCTGATGGCATGTCACACTGTACCACACACAGCACAGCTTTCAAATATGGTTTTAGTTCCGGTCCTATTCATCTACGCGCCTTCTGATCCATCAGCCTCAACATTTGGCTCATTTCCCATTTTCCACCTGTTGACTTGGTCATTAGCCACAAGTTAAAGGGGTTAATGTAATTACACTCTGTAATATGCCCTTTTTCAATGAGCTTCAGATTGAACTTCTCCTTTCTGTTGATTCTGGTTTACCCAATTTGCTATAAAATGTTTAGGTAATGACTAGCTGTTAAAAGCCATCTCAAACTCTAAAATATATAGTACATATGTTTCTTTTGTTTTTGAAGGGTTGGACTTCAATTGAGTTCTTGCAAATAAGACAATTTTCCATGAGTCCTTTCAGAAACAAAAGACTAGAATTATTTAACAATTTCAAGATGCCTAAATTCATCTGATTGGAAATTCCCATTTTAATATAAAATTCTTTTAACTGGGGAGTAAAACCCATATGTCATAATGTATTTTTGAACTAAAATACTTGTTTTGCATTTCTTTTATACATTTAAGCAACTTCATATCACTGAATAAAGTATCCAATAATGGAAAAAAAGCCTTTTGATCATGTTCTTACAAATACAAATAATCACAAAATTGGGAATAGCTAGATTCCAGAGGGTGCTTGCTAATTATTCTGCAGGGGAACATGTGGAACATTTTCCTGTGCAAACATTGTTCCAAGCAGTTGGAAAGATTTCCAGATCAGCTCACAAAAGTCTATTGAACTTGCGATGTGGTTAAGATAGTAGCTGTGATGCCAGAGTTGAGGAGGACAAACCTACTCCGTGGTACCATGCGTTCAGACCCCCAGCTCCATAGCCACATCTCCCAACCCCGTCTCCTCCCTTGCTGGGCTGAACAAGCAAGAGCTCCCATGGCTCCAGGCTCCTGTGTGTGGCGGCTTCCTTATCTGTGGAAAGTGGAAGCAGAGGTGGTGATGTAAGGACAAGATGCCAGAATGTAGGCAATGGGAGGGAACTGCAAGCCCAGAAAACTCCCTGGGGGATCTTGTCATTCAAGTCGCAAGTCCTCCAGATTCCCCATTCTGGTTCTCCGTTGTCCTTGGGGTTTGGGACTGTTTCTCTTTCCCCTGCTCTCTCCATGGCTTCTAACCACCACTTCTCTGCACATTGGCCCACTAAAAAATGTGTAGGCTTCCCTCAATGACCCTTCTGGTATTTTATGCACTTGGATCGGTTTTCCTTGGGTTTTTGTTACAAGCAACACTAGAAATGAGTTAGGAAATTGAAAAGTTTCATGCTAACCCTTCCTGAGCCTTACGTGGGAAAAAATCAGTAATCAGTGATATTGTATCTTTGACTAAACAAAAATGATTTTCTACAGGAACCCTCCTTTGCCACCTAACTGAACCCCTCGGGACTTTGCTCGGCAGGTTCTTCATTCTGAAATTCATCTCCCCTCACCCCAGCACCCTTGAGCTCAGAAGTGGACAAGAGTTCCATTCTGGCTGCCCAGCACCCATAACCTGCTCCCTCCAGCAAAGACCCCTGATGGACTTGGAGGGGCTGTCGATCCAGGAGCTCAGCCCTCCTTGCAGCAGTAAATAGGGTCCTAATTCAACCCAGGCCCACCTGACTCTCTCACGTAGGACACTGGATCCTGAGAAAGGTGACACATGGATGGAACAAACAAACCAGGAGCTCTTTCCTCCCAGCATCAGGGCCTTTCTGAGCCTGCCAACAGCGCCTCCTCCACAGATTGCAGGGGGTGGCCTGGCTCTTATTCCTTCCAAAGTTTGATTCTCTGGGTTCCTCATTATGTGAGCCCCCCAAAGCCTTTGAATGAACCTCCCTGTTGCACAAGTCAACCAAAGTCAGGTTCCCTTGCTGGCATCCAGAATGCCCCACTGCTAAAGCACAGCATAGCCTTAGCCTTTTGTCACGTGGCACACAGCCACTTCCCCGGCCAGGGTCACCCACAGCTCCACAGCCATGCACTTGTGCACATCCCAGCCTCAACCAGCTCCTTCATCTCAGAGCTGTTTGGCAGTCCTTCTGCCAGTCTCCGCTCAGGTGTCTGCCCATCTTTATATCGGTTCTTCCTTGTTGACCACCCTCCTCAAATCTGACCATCCTCACAGCAGTGAACATCATCTAATAACCAGAAACCACCAAGTATGATCTTTTCTATCCCTCTTCTCTGCTTTTCTACCTTAATTTTATCTTTGCCTCCCTTTCTTCAGACACAGAGAAAGGGCTGTCCCTTCATCTTTCTCAGACCCGCTCTCTGGGCTCCAGCTACTCTGTGCCTGTGTTCCAGCAATTCCTTTCCTTCTTTATCTCTTCTCTCCACTGGCTGCCTCTCCTTAGTCCCAGTCACCCTGAAGTCATCCTGATTCTAAGAAGGCCCTTTTCCATCAAATGCCCCCCGCCAGCTAACTGCCCAGCTCACTAGTAGCTTCCTTCCCATCCCTGCTTCTGTAACTTCTAAAAGCCCCACAACTGGGCTTCCACTCCCGTCGACCTCACCCAATGCCATGGAAACTGCCCTAGTGAAGGTCACCAGGGACTTGAGAAAGGCCAAACCTAATACTTTCATTTCAGTCTTTAGTCCAAGAGGTAACTGTTGCAGAAATTGCTGGTTGTCCCAAAATAAATTTCTTTTTCCTTTTAAAACAGAACGCCCTAAACATATTCAGCCTCCCTTGCAGCTAGATGTGTTCATATGATTAAGTTCTGGCCAATGGTATGTGAGCAGAGGGGATGAGCACAATGCCTGAGTCATGTCCTTAAAAGGAAGGGACACGTCTCCACTTGCCCTTTCCACTTCCTGCTGGCTGGGATGTGGAGGTGATGGGGTCCATGTCTGCCACATTTGCCATGAGGATGAGCCCTATACCCCGGGGATGTGGAAAACAAGATATAAGGAGCCAGGGCTCCAGATGATCTCATAAAGCATAACTACCAACTTCTCTGGTCCACCCCTGAGCTCCGAGAGGCTAACGGCTTAGCTAAAGATCACAAAGCTAGATTAAACCCAGGTCCAAGCTTAGTGCTCTTTCCAGTATGCTGCATGGTAAACTGCAATCCGTGCCAGGAGGGTGGGCTCTATCAGCCTCTATTACCGCATGTCCATGGTGACTTCTGGCTATCAGGTTTTAGTTTAGCCACCAGTAATAGCTCTGCAGAGTTCTGGGGGCTCAATGTGTACACACCTTGTTTGGGATTGTCTTTCTCTTCCTGAGGCACTAAAACTTCTCTTTAAAATGCCTGAAACAAGAACATAAAAATATCTTTACATTTTCCCTCTGCAAATCTTTTATTTATTTATCTATTTATTAATTCAAAAAAAGCTGCATTCTATTATGTGAGCAATTTTACTTACTCTAAAGATGGTCTTCATTTACAGAAGCATCAATTAAAATATAACATTTCAAATTACTGTTTACTTGACAGGATTATTTAAGGTCCTTTTCCCAAAGGAAACTAAAGAAGGAAACTCTGTTATTAATAGCTAATAAAGTACAATAAAATATCTGTGTCATAATTATCCTAAAGCCCTTGCCAAGATAACTACAAGTTACCACATGCAAGTTTAAGGGTCCAACTTTTCCTTCCTCACTTCCCCACTGACCCTCCCCACTATTGTTACCCAGAACATACAAAGCAATAATTCATCTCAAAACAGCCAGTAATCAACTGCTTCTAGAATCTGCTACATATGCATGAATATTTTCCCTGTATGGCTCTCACATTTTCCCAATCACAAATCAGGACATTTTATCTAGCAGGCAGGAATTTGTGGGAAAATAGATCAATGTTGGAAACTGAGATTGTCCCAGAAAATCTGGAACATCTAGTCACTATTTTATGTACAATTAAGTTCGGAAAGGAACAAAAAATGAAACTAACTCCTTAGGATTTTATTAGATCCTTAGGGAGACTATTTTAAACCTTCGTTTATGAGATTTTCATAGTATAGTCATTAATGAGAGGAAATTATTTACACTAATTTTATTTCAGAGTATTTCTACCTATCCTAATTAATATGCCTTCAACTTACTCTTTTTAGTTTATTTTTTTAAAAGATTTTATTTATTTATTTGACAGAGAGAGACACAGCAAGAGGGGAACACAAGCAGGGGGAGTGGGAGAGGGAGAAGCAGGCTTCCCACAGAGTAGGGAGCCCGATGCGGGGCTTGATCCCAGGCAGACGCTTAACGACTGAGCCACCCAGGCGCCCCTCAACTTACTCTTTTAAAAGAATTATTCTTTCCTCTCCATGTTATATTTTAACTTCTCTTTTCTTTCAGTTGCAGATTTGTTGAATGAATTGAATCCTATCTCTCCTTATAATCTTTACATTTTATCCAAATATATCTTTTCTTTTCTTTTCCATACCCCAGGCCCCAGACTATTTACTTTCCTGTTTTAAATTAAGAGTCAGAATTAACATATGGACTGAATTTATATATCCTATTTTTTCATAGTACTAAACAATTAAAATATTTATTTTCCTTAGTGTTTGAAATATAATATATCTCTTACATAATGGAAATAAAATTGTACAAAACTTAGTCTACCCCAGGACGAATTTCTTCTCCAGGTCTCTAACCCCTACAGAACAGATTCATAAGAGGTCACTTCCATTATTCCTGTGGTCATGTAGTGTGTCTCCAAATTAGCTATCTCCACTCCCCAGTTAGAAGCTGGGTTTGCTGGTGGAAATAATGAAAGTATGCATTTGACAGCTGAGACAACAGAAGACCACAGCGCCGGCTGGCCTCTGGGCCCATTCAGAGGGCTAGACAAACCTGTCCTAATTAGCACTGCACCTGGAAAACAAACCTCTTCCTTAGGTATATGATGGAGCTTACTCAACTCCCAAGCGTGATTCCCAAACCATGAGCTGCTGGAGCCCTGCAGGCCAGTAAAGAAAACTTACTGAATGTAGATTCTTTTAAAGGGCTCGAACTGGAGCTGCTGGAGTTGTCCGAAATGTCCAGTTCATCATCTAGCTCTGAGTACATATCTGCACATGAATAAAAGAGTAACAGAATAAAATAAAGAGCAAATGAGCCTTGAAAGAGACAAAAGTCAAGGGTGCATGCATGCTGTCACCGTTTCACTAAAAATACCTTTCTCAATATTCTCCGAGTTTAAGTTCTCCTCTGACAGGATGTCATCACAGGCCCTGTCTTCATCCTTACCGCAGGGGGCCTGGAAGCCCTCGGGGGGCAGGTCTGCGCTTTCTGAAAGGTCGCTTTTCAGGCTGGCGGCCCCACTGCTGTTACTACTCAGGCTTGCCTTCTCAAAGGTCTCCTGAAAGAGAAATTCAGCTACAGTAGCCTTTCCTTCCTTCCTTCCTTCCTTCCTTCCTTCCTTCCTTCCTTCCTTCCTTCCTTCCTTTCTTCCTTCCTTCTGTAGGACCCAGAGCTTGTTAGAACATATACTCAAATGCTTGCTACGTTATTAGAAATATTTGTGCCAAAGTACCATCAATAGTTCTGGCTGCACGTTTGCCACAGAGTTCATTCGGTCCGTGACTACAAAGAAAGTGTCTCTGCACCACTGGACCAACAGGAATGGATGTGCCAAGATGCTCAGTGACAGAGGTCTGGACAGACTGGCAGAAGAAAATGCAGCACTGAGGAAAAGATATGTACCAATTAAGCCGAAATTACTCTCCTTTAAGTTATCTTAATATTTGCTCTCTTTGGGGCGGCTGGGTGGCTCAGGTGGTTGAGCATCTGACACTTGATTTCGGCTCAGGTCATGATCTCAGGGTCCTGGGATTGAGCCCCACATTGGGCTCTGTGCTGGGCGTGAAGCCTGCTTAAGATTCTCTCTCTCCCTCTCCCTCCCCCCCACCCTACTCTCTCTCTCTAAAAACAAAATAAAATTAATAATAATAATAATTTGCTCTCTGAATAAGTCACGGGGATAAAAAGTACAGCATAAGAAGTACAGTCAATGGTACTATAATAGCATTGTATCGTGCCAGACGGTAGCTACACTTGTGGTGAGCAAAACATAAGGTATAGAATTATGGAATCACTATGTTGTACACCTGAAACTAATGTAACACTGTATGTCAACTCTACTTCAATAATAAAAAGTTGCTATCAAATCTCAGGACCACAGTGGGTAAGTAGGGCTTAGTTTCTTCAAATCTCAGGGAACTTAGTAGCAGACACAGCCAGGCCATGGGGGGAGAGAAGTGAGGTCCCCTGAAAGATGAAGAGCTGGGGCAGAGGCTCCAATGATGACCAATGCTCGCTAGAGACACAGGTCCATGGTTTTTTGTTTTGCTTTGTTTTGTTATCAGATTCTTTTCTCCAAAATGAAAGTGACACCCACAGCCACCAGGGGCAGGTTCCTAAAAACTCCATGGTGATGGAATTGAAGGTGAAGAAAATCTAAGACGTTATGAGTGACTGGAGTTAGAAGGCAGCCTCTGAAAGCTTTCACGCGTTTCTGTTCACTAAACAAGACAAAAATGAAAAGAATATCAAAGGTGTTGTGCCGTGCAAACTGTCCGATCAATTTCTGCTTGTTATCTCTGTTTCCTGAGAACTTTTTCATTGTTCTTTCCTCAAGCTTTCACCAAGATGCTTGGAGATATTTCTCGTTCTGTTGAAGCTAACATACAGTTGAAGGAGCATTTTAATTTTCTTTGGCTAGTCCTCCATCCAAGTCTTCCTACTTTTGTGACTCAGCATTGTTCATTCCTGCCTTTTGGATCTACTCTGGTCTGCCACCTTAGAACCCAAAATGGAAAATGTTTCGGACACTCTTTGGCATTGCTGAATGTGTGCTTCTCTGAAATTTTTCCCATGCTTAAGGCTCATAAGGGGCTTCCCTTATGTGCCAGCCTCAGCTCTGCCCAAGCTCAGCCCCTGATACCAAACCCAGGAGGCTCCTTTTGAGGATCAAAACTTTCCTGCCAAACTCACTCAGCTCCTTCCATGCCTTCCTCCTTTTTCTGTCCCAATCCACAGATCCTTCTTCTTCCAACATCCTCAACTGAAGTCAGAAATGTACATAGAAATAAATGTAGGATTTTCTCCTCCTACGATTTTTTTTTATTCAAAATTAATCATCCACTGCCCTATTCTAAAGGCCACAACTAGATTTACAACCTTATACAGACTATACACTCAAGATGTGTCAATACTATCAATGTTTTAAAAAAAAAGAGAGAGAGAGAGATCATTTTTGGGTTTACAAAACTCTTTATTACACTGATGCAATTAGATGCCAGAATCCATATATCTCTAAAGCCTGCAAAACTGCAGCAAAGGCTTTGTTTCTTTTTAGAACAGGGATGGATAAGACATTTTTCTTTGGACAAATGAAGAGTGAGGAGAAATTGTGAGTCCTGCTACAGGCATTCCAGACTTGAGGAGCTTTGACTTGCAACCAATACCCAAGAACCAGTTGGGCTGCAAATCAAGTCATTTGCAACCACCAAAATTGTATCCATAAATAACTGGGTACTTCCTTAACTTCTGATAAAAGGGAATTCACATTCTGAGAGAGATGCTTTTTTCAAACTCTGTAAGCATGGAAGGTATGCTATAGCAATGTAGAATGTATAGTTGTTTTAGTTTAAAAAAAACCTGTTTCTATAATCTCTTACAGCAGTTTTTGCTTCAAAAAAATCTATAGAGTTCTTGAACTTGACATAAATGATATGCCACTGTAGACACATTTTCCCAAATGTGATTTCCAGAGTTTTTCCTTGTGAATATTTGAGTACCCAACTCATTACCAACTCTTCCCTCAACGCCTTGCATAATGTTTTGTACATAGCAACTGCTTAATAACTAGTTGCTGTATTGAGATTGAAGGGAGAAAGGGGCCAGGAAAGCAGGTGAATTCCCTTATATGATGAGTAGGTTTTGTAGCTTCTGGGTTTTTTTGTTCATTTGTTTTGCTTTTATTTTGCCTGTTTATCCAGAACCCTACATCGTGATGTTTCTCCAAGAGCTGAAGAGACTATTTGGTGATACACCAATAAGTAGGAGTGAACGTCTCCCTTCCTTTTTCCCCTTTACTCTTATGAGAAGTTATAAAACTCCACTCATCTGTACTAGAGATGGCTGGCCCAGCAACGACAAAATGCCTCTGTAACCCAGTAGGCATTGGCCAAAGGCAGAGATGGTTAAATGTTTTTAGCCTGAGGGTTGAGGCCATTAAGGTATTTTCAAAAGTTGCCTCCAGCAAGTACATCAACCTATTAAAAGGAGTTGGTCGGGGGGCGGTGCAGCCTTGCAGGATGCAATTTGGCTGCTGTCATCTTTTTTACTTTCTAATTAAGATTTTTCTAGGAATAGGAGAGGGAGTTAACTTTTTTTTTTTCTTGGCATCTATATATCTCCTAGGAACGGATGGACACATTCTGTGCATCAATATGGCAGCAAGAAGAAGACAATGCAAATCAGACAATAAAATTATCACTGATATGGAAATCATCACCATTATAGGAGACACTTCCTGTCACAGTGCTGTTATAGGCACAATTATGTTTAGCTCGGTTTTGCTCATTATAATGTAATTTTTTATGTGTGCAGCAGATTATAATACATTTCAGTTGAATAGCAATTCTAACAGTAACAGACTGACATTGCCTAAATTAACTGCAACAGTAGGGAAAGAATTAAGAGTCTATTTTATTAAAACTAGTGTAATTTTTTAAATTGCCCAGAATGTTTTATAAGGAGAGAGAGAGAAAAAAAAAAAAAACAAGAAATAAACATAAAGCATAACACTAACTATATCCTGTAGATGCCTTACTTTAGAACCATAAAGAATGCACTGTTTCTTTTGTTCTAAAATAGTCATTCTATTTGAGCTACGTCTATGCCTACTTTCTTCTATTTGTTTAGTTAATAACTGTGACCTTAGATACATAAATATAGGGCTACCCAGTTCTGGACAGCAATTCACCTGGCTGAGGTGATCTCTTTTTAATGGCAAACCATATTCCATGCTTTTCATGGATGATAGCACAAAGAAAATCCAAAATAGGAGACAGATCATTGACTATATATTACTGTGCATAAATTTAGTCCCTAAATTTCAAAGTATTAAAAAAAAATCCAGGGGAACCTCAGTCAGTTGGGCATCCGACTTCTGATTTCGGCTCAGGTCATGTCTCAGGGTCCTGGGATCCCACCCTGCATCAGGCTCCCCGCTCAGCCGGGAGTCTGCTTCTCTCTCTCCTTCCTTCTCTGTCTGCCCCTCCCCCCACTCGCGTGCTCTCTCTCTCTCTCTCTCTCTAAAATAAATAAATAAATCTTAAAAAAGAAAATCAGCCAGTGTGACCAAGAGGGCTGAAGGGGTCACACTGACTCAGGCCATAGCTAAGTGGTCTGACAAGTTCAGCAGGTGTGGCGAGAGGCTCCTGTCCAGGACCTCACTCTGAGCCACTTGGTTTTGCCACTATAGAGAAGTGGGCCACAGGAGCAAGCTCGGACTATGGTAGCTGGGGATCTTTTAGCTTCAAAGCTGTTTGGTTGGGGCGTCTGGGTGGCTCAGTTGGTTAAGCGACTGCCTTCGGCTCAGGTCATGATCCTGGAGTCCCGCATCGGGCTCCCTGCTCGGCGAGGAGCCTGCTTCTCCCTCTGACCCTCCCCCCTCTCATGTGCTCTCTGTCTCTCTCATTCTCTCTGTCTCAGATAAATAAATAAAATCTTTAAAAAAAAAAAAAAAGCTGTTTGGTTGATACAACTGTCTATTTTATTTATGAAATCCTGAAGCATTTCCCTGCTCCTGTGCTCTGTATATCAAGTAGAAGAGCAATACGTTCAAATGAAACCAGAAAAATTGTTGTGAGAGGTGTTGGAAATAACTAAATTTACGAATATCATATAATGAAGGAAATGTTCTCTTCAAGTTTGGATATTAACTATTTTTTTAATTTTGAACTTCTTAACAATATTCATACAAAGCTAAATATTTTGCTTTAATATAATTAAATGCATATAATTATGATCCCATTATTATCATGACACTCTCTTAATTAGAACTTCTTAAAAGCACAAGAACATACTAATGAACTGTCACTAAAATAAGTAGAGGATGAATTAATTATTACAATTCAATCTAAAATTCCACTATCAAATTTACCACGCTTGATAATGTTTCACTGCCACCCCATAAATAATCTAGTATTTGCAACAGGTTCTCTATTATTCCTAATTCAAAGACAGGTTTTCTAGAAGATATAACATTAATAAGGATGAGGAGAAGAACAGTGCCATAATCTGAAGGTATCCCGTATTAAATATACAGAAGATATGGTCTACATCAACTGA